CCGTATCACTTGCACACCAACAGGCGCATTCTGCAGTATGAATACTTCTCAGTAGATCTTAGGGGATCATCAATTCTTTTCTGGAAAATAAAAATAGAGCAAGTCCAAAATAGTGACATGCTAAGCTACAATTTGCCCAGATGTTTCTCAGTATCAGGTATCAGCTGCATTACCACTAGATTTATGAGTGATTTTCATATGCTTGAATAATAACAATAGCTGTCTTTAATTGACAGCCGTAACATGACTAATCCTCACATCAATCCTATGATATAGATCCTGTTTCCTTCCTTTTACAGATGATAAAACTGAAGTTTGGAGAGGTTAAATTGTTTGTCCAAGATCACACACCCCATACATGGCAACGCCTGGATTTGAAACGATCTAAAAGAAACTAACTTTCTTCATCATTAGAAAGATTCAGTCAGTTATTTCTTCAGTATAAATAAGGGGAAGAGGAGGATAATTACAGAATTTTTATTAAATGACAAAGTGGAAATAATGTGGAACCTATTGCCAGCAAAATTAAGGTCATGCTCTTACCCACTGCCTTTTGTACCTCTTCACTATAATGTACCAGAAAAAGATATTTTGAGAGTCAGCAATATTGGTTATGAAAATATATTTGCTTACTTAGAAACTGAGGAATATTTGAGGCTTTTTAAAATTCTTTACACCTACATGGGATTGCTAAGGCTTAATTGGAAGAAAAAAAATGCATCTCATATAGGACTGAAGTCTCATTTGAGAATAGTCGATATATCCTTCATTAAGATCCATTGATCATTCTAAAATAAAGTCTACTAGTAATGGATTGAGTTTGGGATATGTATTGCTGAAAACCTCTCAGGGTTCAACTTTAGCCTTCAAAAATACTCTTACTTCTAAAATGCCCTGCCTTGCTGCACATTATCTCCAGATTATTGTGCATTGATTTTATTTAGTTATATCAATATATGCATATATTAGCGCTTTCCAATGAAAATATAATTGAGTGACATATATAATTTAAAATTACTTAGTAGCCATATCTTAAAAAGTAAAAACAAACAGGCGAAATTAATTTTCATGCTATGTTTTAACTCACTATATCTAAAATATTACCATTTCAACATTAAATCAACATAAAGATTGCAAATGAGATACTTTTTTTATTGTCTTAAAAATTTGTTATGTATTTTACCCTTAACATATCTGTTTGATATTGCCACATCTCAAGTGCTTAGTAGTCACCTATGGATAGTAGCTACCATATTAGGTAGGCAGTGTTTATAAGGTGTCTTTGCTTAGAGAAATGCCGTATTATTACTGAGAAAAGCGAATACTTCAGAATATCTGTTCTTTATTTGACATTATTAGATAGTCATCATTTGTAGATTTTGGGAACAGCTATAGAAGCAGAGAAAAATTAAGAAAATTAAATTTTGTTTCAAAACCTGTGTTTTATTGATTATACAACATATTTATTAATTTTAGATGTTATAGAAACACCAATTTGGATTTTATTCACTAATGAAAATCACTAAGAGTGAATTTCCTCCATTAACGTGGACAGTGTAGATTATTGGAAAGCATTTAGTTTCAATAAAATTTAATTCAGATGTTAATCTTTGAGTATGTACCATTAACCATCTGTAACCTCAGGGGAAGCTAATTTGATCTGTTTCTCTTCAGAAAATTGCTTCAAAATATGAAACCTCAAATAGCTTTTAAAAATTTTGTATCACTTATTATAAGCAGTCTTAGATATGAATTTCTTTGTGTAAACATTTTCTCAAAGTTACTAGAAATTTATTGTGATATCTTTTTATTAATGAAATATTATTTTGGCCCCTAGATAGATCATTATCTGAAAAGGGAATTTGAAAAAGATGAGAAGCCACATGACAAGTCATATCACAATGCAGTTTTAGAAGATATTTTTAAGAAGAACGACCATGATGGTGATGGCTTTATTTCTTCCAAGGAATACAATGTATATCAACATGATGAACTATAGCATATTGTTATTCCTAAATTTTCTTAGCTACTTACTGTACTTTATATATAATGAAATCACTTTTCTCCAAGTTGTGTTTTCTATTTTTTCCCCCATGAAATATATTTTGATCCCCTCAATACATGTAATTTTGGAATAAATGTGAGACTATTGTGCAAATTTCACTTTTGGGAAAGGTATGATTATTTCCTATTGCTTTATTTATTGAACATGCATTGCAGCCCCATGAAATCCATCTGTGTCCCAGTGGGCAATTTCCCCGTTCAGGAAATAGGAGAACACCTATGTCAAAATCTACAAGCTCTTTCCAACTCTTACCTTAATGGTAGAAATATCTATCCATTTTTTAATATTTTAAATGTTAAAATGCCCCATATATTGGGTTGTTGGAAAAGTCATGACATATTTTTTTTGTTTTTCATTGCAAAAATGTACCATGACTTTTCCAACAACCCGATATATATATTTTTAAATTTTTTTTTTAATTAAGGAATTGGGGAAGAGAATAGTGTTGGAGAACTGGAGAAGGGAACATTGTGTTCTTCTAGGATCCATCGGCTCCAAGTCAAGTAGTTGTCCTTCAACCTTAGTTATGGAGGGCGCAACTCAGCTCCAAAGGGGGTGGAGGGAGGAGGCACAGCCTTCCATCCTATGTGGGAGTCAAACCAGCAACCTTGTTGTTAACAGCATGTAGACCAACCGAGCCATCCAGCCACCCATAAAATGCCCTATATTTTATAAATATTCAACAGGGACCCGGGAATTAACATTTCAATGTTTATACATTTCATAGCATTATGGATGGTAGGATATTAAAATCACAGGACTTCCTCTGGTATGCATGCAGGAAAATGTAAGTTGAATAACTGTCCCACAGAGAACCTCAACACGGTCTCTACTTTTTGGTGCATGCTTCTGGCCCTAGGTATTTGTTCCACTGGGGAACATTTAAAGATATTTGATCAGACCAAAGACTTTGTGCCTCTTATCTTATAGCAGACATAATGGTGCGCTGAGTCTTCCTTCTCTTCCTTCTTGTAGGCCTTCTTCTCTACCATCCCTAACTTTTGGTCTTGATTTTAAATTGATGCCATGGTATTTCTTAGTTTCCAGTTCCCTTTCTCCAGGTATCTCTATTCTATGTCACTTCATTTCACAATGTTCTTGTTATTAATAGTGAATGAGCATTACAACCGGTATGCCATCAAATTTTTTATAAATGGGTAGAATTTATTTTACACATGAAGATATCAAATGAGGATACAAGTGAGGATACATAGTGCCATGGCAATTTTGTGACATGGTCAAATCATGACGTGGTACAGATTGCTGAGAATAAGAAGTAAGAGATCACATTGGTGCCAAAGAAAGGGTACATATTTATTAGAACATGTAAGGTTTGGCCTACTATGTATGTAGGAAAGTATAGTCAGACAGTAAATGGCTCTATTCAAAACAGCTGAGTTCAGGGCCGGCCAAGTGGCGCGATGGTTAAGAACTGGCTTGGGATGCCAGAGGGCCCTGGTTCGGATCCCACATATGAAGGCCAGTGACACTGCCCTCCACAGCTAAGATGCTGAACAACAGCTCGACCTGGAGCTGGGTAGCTGTGAGTCACCGGCGACGGCGTAGGCTGCAGCCCCTGTGGCAGTGGGTTGCCATGGGCTACCGTATGTAGCCAGCAGCCAGCAGCCGCAGTGAGCGGCCGTCCAGAAGCCGGCGACTGATCTGCCTCGCCCAGGAAGAGCTCAATGATGGTACCAACTTGGGCCAGTGAAGCAACGTCCTCCACAACTAGACTGAAGAACAAAACGACAGCAACTTCTCTGTTCCCATTCCCCCAATTCCCCAGCACTGTTCCCATCCCCCAATTCCCCAATAAAAATCTTAAAAAAAAAAAAAAGTCATTAGACTTTTTTTGGATCAGTATACTCATATTTGCATTTGAATCATATACTCTGCCCAAAAGAAAAATACAGTGACAGAGAAGGTATACATGGAAATTATCAGATAATACAAACTATAATTCTAACCTTTCTGTCCCATTGTTTTCCTACAAAGTGCTTTTAAACTTGTTTTTAAAAAACTATAGATGATGTTAAATGAATATGGAGATTTACTCAAACTAATCACATTTAAACAGCTAAAAAGTAAAATTTTAATCATTCTCCATGCATATAATATACAAGTATTTCGGATTTACTTAATTGTGTTATGCCTTCATAGGTATATACCTAATAATGAGTGCTATAATTATACACTTTGAGCTCTAGAATTTGAACACATTATTTTTGCAATTGTTTTAATAATTAAATTAGTTTTAATAATTGTTTTAATAATTAAATTACTTAAATTAGTAATTTAAGTTGTGTATGAAAAATTTCAGATCTCTTACAAAGTAGATGAAAAGATCTCTCAGAACTAAATATGTTAAATGTTTTAAACACTTTCAAAGGAGAAAATAAACGTGCCCTAGATGCCGTAACTTTAAAATGATAGTAGTGAGTTTCATAAAGCCAAAGTGAGCAAGCATATGTACATCACAGAATGGCAGCTCGCTACTGTTAGTCACCCTGTTAACTGTACACAAAACCCCACACTGAGCTCAGTGTGCTATTAATTTGATACTGCAATTAAACATTTAGGATTACATTAAATTATTAACATGTTTTTCTCATTTTACCAGACCTAGGGCAATAGTTAAAGCACCATAACGATGCACTCTGTTCATCCTTAAATGTTGAATTCAAAGCCAATTAAAAATAAGATGGATATTTAGATAAATGTCTATATATAAAGTTACCTAAAATGATAGTCTAAATCCCAAAAATACTTCAAAAGCGACTGGCAGATTTTATGAAGGAACATCTATATTCTGAATTTTACATTTAACCCTTTTTAATATAAAAATATTAATATTCATGACAGTTTATGAGGTAGACACTATTATCATCTCCACTTTATAGATGGGGAACATTATGTTTAGACAGGTTAATCTCTTTTTTCTCTCCCTTTTTAATTTGCCACCATTCATCAAAGGGAACCTAGATAATTTTGGAAAGGTGCGTGGCACTGTTGCACCTAAAACATCAGCAAGGTACATTTATTTTCCATTTTATTTCATTCTCTTGTGCCAAATATCAAAACAAGGAACCGCATGAAGTCTCACGTACTTCTGCCCATCGACAGAACACTGAAAGCACCCATAAACCGTCTCCCTTTTTAAGTTTCCCATTCCACAGAGTATACAAGGTCCTTTCGGAATGTTGTGATTAAGTAAGTTAACTCGGATATGAGTCCCTTCTTTGAGTGAAATATCAGTCATGCTGAGAGGTTTGTCATAGTAGTCAGAAAAAAGATCATCTAAGTAAAGCTGTGAACGAGAAATGACGTCCATCACTCTTCTATCTGAAAGGACAAAGACAGAGAAATGTGTTCAGAAGACAGACAAAAAACAAAGCTGCATTTATAAATACATGAATCTAAACCATCAGTCATGAAATGATTTGGCTTTTAAATTTAAACGCATCTTTAACAGACAGGATTACTGAATAGGCAACCTCAGGTGTTAATCCAAGAAGAGAAAAAAATACATTTGAAATACTCTTCAATGGACATACTTCTTTCAAATAGTATATTTCTCAATCTGTAGAACGCTGCAAACGTTGCTGTTTCTTCCCTTTCAAATCCTCCTTTTTTCACTGAAGTGACACAAATGTCTATAAGAAAAAATTTAGATGTTATGACTTGAACAACTCATATTTTTGCAGTTGATGTGACTGTGATTGATGAATGCTGGTACCTGACATTGTATTTTTTAAGTTAAATTTTATATGATTTTAGAAAAGGTAACATTCATATGGTACAAAATTCAAAGTGTACAAAAAGTGACAAATCTAGTCTACATTGAACCTAGCCTGTTTTCCACCCCAGAGGTAACCACTGTTAACTTTCTTGTGTGTACCTTCAGAAATATTCCACATATTTTATAACCATAAAACACACACACACACACACACACATATATATATATATATATATATATATATATATATATATATATATTCTTTAGGCTCAAAAAGTTACATACTACACACATTTCTTTCAACTATCTCTTAAGAGATTATTCCATGTCAGGATACATAGTGCTACCTCAAGTTCTTGTTAATGGCTTCATAGTATTCTATTGTGTGGATGCACCATTATTTAACTAGTTGCTAATAATAGATTATAAGGTTAGTTCCAATATTTTGCTATAACAAACTGAATATCCTTATACCCATAAAATTTCACATATGTATATCTGTAGGATAAATTCCTAAAAGTTAAGTAAAGCTAAAGTATATGTAAATTTAAAATTTCAATCGATATGACAGTTCTATCAGTTTATACTCCTCCTAATAATATAATGGTAAAAACCTACACCTGAAGTATCCCAAATAGAATTTAATTTGCATGTTTTGTTTTGTTTCTGGACTCCCTATTTCCCCTCTCCCACAGAACTGCAGAAACAAACAAAAACAGGTCTAAAATTGTTGTTTATAAATTACCATGGCTAAGGAGGCTTGCTTGGCTAGTACTTTGGGCTGCACTTAGACTTGAGCTGCCTCCTAATCTTAAAAGACCTGTGAAATGTGGAAATCTAAAGTGAGTTGCACTGAGGAATTATATAAGGTGATAAATAATTTTAGGGGAAGCATTCATACTTTTAAAGTTAGTTTTTAGAGAGAGTTGAAGGGGAAGCTGGATCTATGGCAGGTAAAACTGAAGAAAAATTGTCTTCAGGTAGCCTAGTTTGGGCATCCTGACACCTTAAGGCACCTTAAGGCATCTTCCTCCTCTATTTGCCATCATGAAAAACTACCGATTAGCAGGTCAACTATTATCTCCCCATGTAAGTCAAGGAATGCTTTGTCAGTGGATTTCATTTTAGTTCTTATCTATAATTTTAAGTGGGGTGGTAGGGAATATGCAGCCTTTACCAAGAAGCAGGAAAAAGGTATTGGGTAAGTAGGGATTGGAGGGTCTTTCCCAGCTATTTCACCCAAGCATAAGATTGACAGTGCTGAGAGCATCATTCTTCTATAATGAAAGAGAGAAAGAAAGATTCCTATTAAATTCTTCTTAAAAGTATAATCAATTCAGTGTTTCATGAAAATCATTCACTCACCAAAAGCACCATCCAAGTAAATGAAGAGTTCAAAAACACTGAAAGCTATGGTTGTGTGTGCTGGAAAAACAATAGCTTTGTCCCTTCCCCTGGCATTCTGTTCATCCATAAAATGAAACTATATTAAATAAATAAATAAATAAATTAAATAACATTATTAAGGATCATAACATGATAGCTTTTTGGAGAAACAAAACATCCTTCAATCCTACCAAATAACAAACAAAAAAAGCACCTCTCCAAGAAAAGAATTATCCTACTTGAAATAAACTTTATAGCAGAGGTCCAAATGGTCCAATGGGAACTCATGATCTGTATTAGGAAATACCACTCATCACTTTCTCACTTACTTCAGAATTGGAACCAATGATTAGTGCTATTACAACAGTAATGCTCTCTGGTATAGAAAACCTTTCCTTTCAACTGCAAAACAACTGCATTTAAATGCTACAGCTTTTTTAGTCTACCCTATCTACTGTTCCAAAGTCTCCAGAGTTTTCTGCAGCTTTCCAAAGCAATCACCAACAAGTAAATGGTTCAGTTCGTGCCCAAATGACCCAATGTTAATTTGGTGGGCAGCTAAATAAACAGAACCTTGATTTGCAAAGACTTGAAAAGATTGTCACTGAACCCTATCTTTCTAAAAATTGGTTTTAATAAAACCAATCAAGTCATTATTATGCATCATTGTTATGTGAATGACAAGGACAAATATCATAATTGAGCTAATAATTAAACAAATTACTTTCAAGATTTTTTTAATGTTAAAGGATTTAACATTGAATGAAGCATGTTTAGCCATTGACAATATTATTTTAGAAAAATATAAAAATGTAAATTCAGCTTTTAAAAATTCAAGTATCAACTACATCACTTAAAAATCAAATCAAAGAATTCAACATAAGCATCTAATTTTTATTCTTAAAACAGCATTTCCGTAGTAATAGGAGGGACTCCAGTATGCACATTATTTCACACAGATTAGTGTTTTGTTTGTATAATAACACATGCTTAGAATCCAAATTTTCCTGGATTTTTTTTTCATATTCTAAAACAAAACCATTACTGTGTAAAATCCTATATATACCATTGCAGCTATTTAATCTCAACATTTGACAAAATATATGTCTCATTAGAAATTTCTTTAAATTCCCATTGCAGCTTTTTGGTAAGAGAAGCCTAATGAGCGTGGTTTTACCCGCATGGCTTCCCCACGAATTCCGGCATGCACAGACAGTGAGCACTGTCGTGTGGTTCGAATGCTTTCCATGACCACACACAAGACTGCCTTTCTGCTGCTCCTTGTCTGACGTATCAAGCTGTGGTCAAAATTAATTTTTCTAAAATAAACAAGAGAGACATTCACAAGAATCTGTAACATCTGATTACATATAATCCAGTACATTTTTTGCTATCATGTGTTACACATCCATGGTCCACCTTAACTAAAAGTAAGTCAAGGCAGGCTTAATACAAGTCAGAAAGATGCTCAAAAGAAATTTAATAATCAGCCTCTCCTTTCTATTTTCTTTCGACATGCTTCTTATAGGTGTCTACTGGAGATGCTCAGCATACTTGTTGCAAGCAGATTCCTGTATTCTTTTAATCTAATAATTTTGCAAATATGTGTAGATCCAAAGCAATTTTGTGAAACAATTAAAAATTCTGTTTGAACCAAATGATTTTGGATATCTATCCTTATCCAAAGTTAGGGTATGTTACTAACTTGTATTATTTCAAACAAATAAATTACATTAGTAAAATATAACCTGAGTGTTTTAACCATTCTTTATGATGAAGTTTATATAATTAAAATATTTCATGAAAACACTGATTATTATACTGACCGTGTAGTAATTTCCTTGAGTAATGTTGATACTTCCACTTCATGTTTGGTTACTACACCAAATGACGCTTTTACTGCCACAGAATCTGAGCCAGTAACGTTAATCCCAACATCATTCACAATATGGTTGCCTCGCCTTCCATAGAGTGAAACGTCTGATTCATCCTCATAGTTCAGTAACTGATAAGATGAAATACCTTTTAAAAAAAAAGAAATTAATATATTTTTCAAAAGTCTTGAATTTGTCTAATTTAGATTACATATAGTTAACACATTAATTTACTATTTAAGGCTCGAGGACCCAAATGTTGAGAATGGCAATGCTTCAAACCAAGATTAAAAATAGCAATTCAATTAATTAGAAAACAATGAGAAATAGAATACGTAAGATGAACTCAAATTCTACAGAACTTCAAGAGCACCAAGTTCTATTGGGTCATTCAAAGAAAAACAAGTGTTGGTAAAAAATAATTTGTCAAAATGTCAATACATTCTCTAATCTGGCCTGTAATATGTAATAGTTTACCAACTGTAATAACTGAATCATAAAAAATACAAATTACTCTCATCTCATTTGACCCTGTGAGATAGGTAAGATGAAATAATGGCCCCATTTTATAAGTGAAGAAATATATTATTATGTCATATTCTAAGTTGATTTGGTTAAAACAATTTACAAAATAATTGAAATAAAATTACACAATAATCTTATAAAATAGGCTTGAAAATTACTTGAGCAGTGAGACTTGTTACTATTACAAACTTTAGGCACTGTTAATCATAATATTATTACTGCCATAGCAATAAAAGTTGTTTTTACAAATGAAAATGTGTAATTATGAACATAAGCAGTATACATGATCTATCTTTAGATTACCAATAATACAGCTGAATGAGCAGACATTCCCAAACAGACACTAAAACTTACCAGCTGAAATTTCTCTGTCTCCTAGAAGAATATCTTTCAGTGTAAAAGGTGTCGAGGTAAATTTATATCTAGGAAACAGAAAGCATCGTTTCTTTTTTACCACCAGACTTAGAGGCTGGTATTTGTCAGCTTCACTGAGGCTTGGAACGGGAACTAATCTCCCTCCATCTCCAACTTGCTTGACAAAGCTCTTGGTAGCAGCAACAAACATATTAATATGGTATCAAAAGGCCATCAACTGCAACCCTCAGATAAAAAATCCATATTGTCAAAGAAAAACAGGCACAAAACTAAGCCTTGCTTGATTTTAAATACAATTATATACATTAAAAATACAAAGCACAGTTTCACCAAGTAGTTTACAGTGCACAGTTCACAACACTGCCTCCCTTGGTGTGCTCAGGTGTTGAATTATAGATCGACGGTGTAAAATGATATACTAAAAGTAAGTCTAATTTGAAATTGCAGTCTATAGCACGAAAATATACACAGAAAACTAGTAATTTTTAAATACTACCAATGTCTTTAATGAGGGTTAAGGTTAATAGTGGCTTGCCAGTTTTGAGGGAAACATATAGCCTTATGGGGAAAGCAATTCAGTTTAGGCACTAACATTAGCCCTGGATACCAGCTACAGAGGACCTAGTCCAAAGGGAATTCCTTAAGTTCATCATGCCAATTTTGGCAACAGAAAAGTCCTGCTTTGAATCCCAATGGTTTACAGTTTATTGTTTGAGCACTTCATTCATTTTCCTTGTATGCTTACAAAACCAAGTGATCAATACAAAAAGTAAATTCACAGATTACAAGGAAACAATTGTATGCAGATCTTTATAAAATACTAAATGAAAGCCACATTACATATAAATAACTGTATAAACTCAGACGTATGGGTTTCTTACTCTGAAGCTGGCACACAGACATCTCTTTGAACGGGGGTCCTGCTTCATTTATTTATGTTTTGTTTCATAATTCTTATCCCAGCTTCTCAACCTTTAAAGAGAGCTACATAATATTTTGGCTTGTTTTAAAGGCATTTTGTGGCTAAAAATACATTTTAAAAACAAATCTGAGTGCTGAAATACTGTATTGCCATTGTTATGCGGATGTTATATTTTGAAATAGTGGCTATGTGGTGCTCACAAAGTATTCATTAAAACAAAGAACATTACGGGCTAGCCGAGTGGCTCATTGGTTAACAGTTGGCTTGGGAGCATGAGCTCTGAGCAGCAGGGCCCAGGTTCAGATCCCACATGGGCCAGTGATGCTGCACCCTTTACAGCTAAGATGGCGAACAACAGCTTGACCTGGAGCTGGGCTGCCGTGAGTCACGGGCAACAGCGGCGAAGGCTGTAGCCCCTGCTGCACTGGGCTGCTGGTAGCCCTGGTGAGCGGCCGTCCAATGGCTGGCAACCCATCAGCCTCAGCCAGGAAGAGCGCAATGATCACAATACCAACATGGGCCAGTGAAGCGACGTCCTCCACAACTAGACTGAAGAACAAACAAGAGTAACTTGTCTGTTCCCTTTCCCCCGATTCCCCAAAGCTGTTCCCACCCTGAATTCCCCAATAAAATCTTAAAAAACAAACAACAAAGAAACAAGTAAAAACAAATAACATTAGTGGATAATAACATACTATCAAGAGAGGATGGGGAAGAAAGAATAGGTTTAATTCGCGCCTCAAATAATATAAATCAATTTGATTCGATTCTGGACATTTTTAAAATCCGCTTTCAAATATCCAGGGCTCCTATGCAACCCCAAAGAATAGTTTTGAATAATGTCTTTCCATGCAAATAGTATTATGAAAAGCAATCTTCCAGAACACCGAGAAAGCACAGGGTGTCATTTCTGCAAGTGGCTAGCAAGCCCCTAGAGAAGTGACTGGATATCTAATTTCTAGCCCCCCCCACCACCACTACCACCCAAGGTGGTGCATCCCAAGCAAACTCCATTACAACCAATACCACAGCTGTGCAGAAACAGCATTTAATTGGAATCCGGTCCATAGAAAAGCCTTCGTTTACATCTAACAGGCTTTGCTGGGATCAGCGGGCCCAGCATTCACCTAGCGATGAGAGCCTAGAAGACAATGGAGCCCACCGGGCGGTAAAGGAGGGGGTGTCGCCGGACGTCTCTGCGAGCTCCTAAGGACAGGGCTCGGAGGCCGGAATAGCCCACCGCAGCCCTCAGAAGCTGATATAACGCGAGTCTCAAGCTTCCGGGCCAGGCCCGGGGATGTACGCTATAAATTCTGCACTTGGAATTTTGAAATCTTTTTCTGAAAGTGACGCAGCCCTCGTCCTTCCCCACCGCCAAAAACAGACTGGGCTTCGGATCCCACAGAGTCTGAAAGCCTTCCCGCCCGACAAGCCTCCTCTCCAGGAAGGAAACGGCCTTCTTTTAGACACAATTACGGCCTCGATCAGGCCGGGGAAAGGGTGCCGAGGACACCCCCCCCCCAGAGGACACAGGCTGGGCACCCGCGGGAGATAAGGAAAGCCTGGGCTGGGAAAGGAGGCGGAGTCTAGAGGGACAGGGGCGGGGCCAGGCGCCGAGGACTCCCGGAGCCAGTGGGCGGGACCGGGCAGGGAGATAGGCCGGGAGCTATAGGGCAGCGAGGGGGCGTAGCCGGGAGCCCTGGCCCGAGCTGCAGCACAGAGGCTCCGCCTCCGCCCCCGCCCGTCCTCTTCGCCAGAGGGACGCAAGCTGGGAGAAGGGGAGCTGGAAAAAGAGAGTCGGAGGAGGGGAGGAGCAGGCGGCGGCGGCGGCGGCGGCGCTGGCGTGCTCCTCTCCCGGACCGGCCGACCCGGGAAGCGAGGACGTTACTCCGCACTGCTCTTCCTACCGGCGTCGAGCCGTCCCTTCTCGCCATGTCCCAAAGCAGGCATCGCGCAGCAGCCCCGCCGCCGGAGCACGAGGACAGTGGGACCTTTAGGTCAGCGCCGGAGAATTCCGGGCCGAGCCGAGCAACTGCCGGAGTGGTGGGCAAAAGGGGCGGCGGCGGCGGGGGCGGGAGAGCGGCTCTCGAGCGGCATTCTGGGTAAAGCCCCTTTCAGGCGCTGCCGCCTGGGAGGCTGCGGGCCGACCCGCGGCGCTGGGGCTGGGGTCTGCGGTCCTGCACTGCCCCTCTGGCGTCCTAGGGTGGCGGGCGGGGTGGGCGGAGATTATACCCGGCCTCCTGGGGAATGGGATTTGTGTGTTTAGTCTTGAGAGGTTGCAGCACTTCTATTCGTCTACGAATCTGTACCTGCATTCAAGTTACCTCCTTAAAGACCTCCCTCCACCCTGCCAGCGCGTGCCTGACGCCGGCCGTTGCAGGTCTGGGAGATGGTACGCCTCGCCAGCTCTGGTCCTGGCCGCCGGGGAGCTTCGGGGTCTCTCGCGTCACTGTTAGTGGCAGTTAGAACTGGCTTCTGTATGCTTCTGCTTCTCTCCCGGTTTTGACATGCACAGCACACCTTTTTCTGTTTTCTGCAGTTTGGGGAAGATGATTACAGCTAAGCCAGGGAAAACACCGATTCAGGTATTACACGAATACGGCATGAAGACTAAGAACATCCCGGTTTATGAATGTGAAAGATCTGATGTGCAAATACACGCGCCCACTTTCACCTTCAGAGTAACCGTTGGTGACATAACCTGCACAGGTCTGTATACACAGCTAACCTTGTCGACCATGCAGGTTGGCGGTCAAGACTTGGCATTGCTTATCAGTTTAGAAAAGTACCCTTTTTACTAGAGACAGCTGTGAGGAACAGGTTCTTGAAACTGAGACCTCATCTCAGGTCATTGGGACTTTCCAACTTCATCTGATTCTGTCCTTAATTTTCTCATCCCCAGACACCGAGAGAAGCTCAGAGACAGATCCTAGGATCCTCCTAGAGTACTTCCAAGAATTAGGGAGAAGCAGGAAAGATTCTTGAGGCAGCCATAGCTGGATCAGTAGGTACTGTCAAGTTTTATAGTTGCATAGATCAGGAAGTATGACCCCAGAATTTTCTGAGCCTCCTCTTTTTGTACAGACTCATTTGGCACTTTTGTCTCATTATACCACTCGACTACTCGCGATTCTGTATCCAAGCAAAATGAGGAAGGCGGAAGGCTCGAATGCTCTATATTGCATAGCAGCTTCTAGTTCCTGATATACAGGTATCTTAATGAGCCATTATCTCCATATATATGACAAAATAGATTCAGAGAGATTATAAGTAATACGTCCAACGTCACATAGTAATGAAGTTTCAGAATTCAGATTCACCTTATTATGGTCCGTGAGTTTGAGCAAATGATAATAAAGCCCATTTGTAAATGGAGACTTTTTATTTCTTATGTATCTATGTAATTGCAAACAAAAAATATTGAATGCTAAATTTAATTTGGAAGGATGTCAAAAAAATTCAGCAGAAATGCCAAAGTTCCACCAGCTGGCAATCTGAGGGCATCATTTGTTTGTGTCCCTAAAAATCTGGAGTCTATTTTCATTGAAGCCACTTGAAGAAAATTTTGACCTTTTTTTGCCTGTGAGGCAAGTGAATTGAAGGTGCTAGCTGGAAGATTCCCCATATGAACTGTAGAATCAACATTGCATGACTGCTTTAGCTGGTGTATTTTTAAATATTCAGTGAAAATTCAAGAAAAAGGAGCCTTTAACCCTTCAGTGTTTTATAACCTATGGCAACCATTCTGCCTAGGCTGCCCCTACTCTGCTCACACTGCCCCATCTTCCTGTACAAGCTTATCTGCCTCAACAGTTTCAATACTGTCTAAAGGCTGATAATTCTGAAATCTGTCCTCAGCCCAGGCCCAGACAGTGTGTCAGTCTTTGTTTGCTGGACATCTTTGCTTGGATGACCCAAAGACACCTGGGTCTCTCATTGACTTAAACTGAATCCATCTTCTCTCTCACATCCATTCCCCCTGCATTCCCTTGCTCAGTAAAGGCACCACCAGTATCCATTTGCTCATAGTAGAAATTTGGGTCTCATCTTCTTGACTCCTTCCCTTCCCTCTGCTGCATGTCCAGTCTTGTCTCCAAATCTTACTTCCTAAATATCTCTTGAATCTGTCTGCTTCTCTCCTCTTCCCTTTGCTACTGTTTGGGCCACTGTCATCTTCCACTTGGATTATGGCTACAGTCTTGTAGCTGTTCTTTCAGCTTCTAGTCCTGTGATGTCCATTCAAATCTGTTCATGTACTTCCTTTTCTTAAAACCCATTCATTGGATTCCCCATGAACCTCTGGATAAATACAGGTTTCTTAACACGACTTACAACCCTGCTGCTCAAAATGTGATCAGCAGCAGTGTTGATAACACCTGGGCTCTTGATGGAAATGCAGAATATCAGGCCCCATACCAAACGTACTGGATCAGAGTATGTGTTTTAACAAAATTTCCAGGCAATCTGTATGCACATTAAAGTTTGATAAGCACAAATTTAGGAGACTGTTCCCTACCCTCCAACTCTCTAGACTTTTATCTCAAAACTCCTTCCCTCAAGCTCTGCCAGTACCCAACTACTTGGGTCTCTTGAGAACACCATGCTTTGTGTTGCCTTTGAGCCTTTGCTGGTGTTCTTTTTCTCTGCCTAGAATGTTCTTCCTAACCCCCAGCTTTCTTCACATTATTAGCTTTTACTAGTCTGTGAGGTCTTCATTTAGTTGTCTCTTCCTTCATGAAACCTTTCTGAATCCTTGCTAGGAACAGGCGAGCTGCCCCCTTTGTACATTGCCCTATAGCCTGCACTTAAGCCTGTCATTACACATACCACTCCCTATTTCAAATGCCTATTTATAGACAAAATCCTACACTAGGCTGTGTGCTCTTTAAGGGCAGGGACTCTGTTTAGTTCTCCACTGTATCCCTAACATCTGTGTTATGGATAAATGAGTATGGTTTGTGTGTCCCCTTTGTTTCCTCCACACCAGAGGAATGGACGTGAGCATTCTGATACCACTTTCAAAGGGTTCTCAATGCCTAGTTTGAACAGAGAAGGAAAAAGATTGAATTTACCATTTACTAGGTGTGATTGCTTACTGAAATTAGGCATCGCTCTCAGTGATTAGTCAGGCCTGTCCCCTGTCTCCCCCTTGGCTACCCATCCATGTAAGGGATACAGACTGTATAGAAGACACGTAACATAAGCTCTCACTTTCTTTCTATATAAACCTTCTCGCATTGAACCTAACGTAACCACAACTGCTTTGCCAATAAAGGGGTTTAATCCAGTCTAGGACAGGCTGTTAGAGTAAAATGATGCACCTTTCGCTGTAGGTGGCTCCCTTAAAGGAAACTTCTTGCCACGGAAGAATTGCTCCCCGTGAATAGGGGAAGAGTAAAACACTAAATTGCATTTCCTCAGGAGTGACATACCTACTTTTTTACCATTTTAGGTAATTAATAGACATGATGTAGGCATGATGTCGGTTTTTTTATACAGGCATGCCTAGAATTAAATACATAGAACTTGAAAACTCATGGGTTTTTTTAGTGTTTTTCATGTGAATATTTTATTATCATGTATAACTGTGTTATGTGTGTGTGTTTATTACCTAATGTGTACATGTAAAACCTGTAGTGACTATGTTTTATATTATGAAAACATCTATGCAAACCTCACATTTTCACAGCATATACTTTTTTGTTTGTTGTTAACCTTAATTCAGGTGAAGGTACAAGTAAGAAGCTGGCGAAACATAGAGCTGCAGAGGCTGCCATAAACAGTTTGAAAGCCAATGCAAGTATTTGGTGAGCTCAATTTCTTTGTATTCTGCAGCTCAAAAATATCATGGCTGAGGTAAGATTAAAAGTTTGAACATGCTCACAAATGGAACAAAGTGAACAGTTGTTAGTATTTAGCTCTAAAATTCTGTTTCCTTGTGGAAACCTGTTATCCATTAAGGACAACTTTATCCTTAAGAAATGAAATACAGCAAGGAACTATTAATGAATGCTCTCTTGAACTAGACGCTTTTTTTCCTAGATGGGGTGCAACAGGAGAAAACCAGTTTTCCTGACCAATATCTTACTGTATTAAGACTTTAATTATTTCTACACTGAGGAAAGCAAGGTGTGAGGTGGAAATAGATTAGCTATAAAAGTACCCTGTGAGGAATTCTAGTTTGGAAGGAGACAGAAAGATTTCCTTTTGTTAAAGCATGTGTACCGAATATAAGGATGTTAAGTGGGATGGTAATTCTTGACATATCTTTCCAAAATAAATTTTATTAGTACTTTAGTTACTTTGGAAAGAGTATTGGTCCTGGAGTATCTCACGTATCATAAAGTAGTATCCTTTGGTTTCTAGTTGCTTCTCTTTACGTGCACTCAAATATACTTGGAGGATAATCTGGTATATCTGCTCATAGCTGATGGCAGAGGCCCATGGAAATTTAGGAGGGGGTTTTTTGCTTCCAGCCATAGCAAAACTTGACTGAGGGATATATTTAGGTTCTCATGCAGTGCACCTCTATTTTTCAAAATTATTCTAACCATTTGGATAGTTCAGCACTAACCAGTGTAAGCCTTGGATCTCACAAAATGATGCTTAATTCTCGGGGGTCATCCATTATGGTCGATTTATGCTAGCTTCCTAGATATGCCAAATGGCATGGCAGGTTTGGATCTTCCCCCTCACTGGTGAAGACCGTGCTATTTTTGTGCTGCCCAAAGGTCAACCCAAAGTGTTAAGTATATTTGTAGAAATGAGCTAGTATCCTTCCTGTACATGGGCACTTCGCTTTGTCAGCAAAAAAGGCTAACCCACTTACTATATATTTGTACTTCTTGACAGATAATATGGGAATTACTAAGCTGTAATGAGGCCTAAAGTGGCCTGATTTAATACAGAAACTTTCTCACTTCTCCATCACAATTATTTGGGTAGCTTTGGCATGCAGCATTGTAAGTGAATATTCGTATCTCATCAGCCTATGTAAAGCTTGAAATTCTGGTAGTTAGAAAAGAAACTTGAGGAAGTAGCAATAACTGAACCTCGTTTGTCATGGAAGAGATGATTCTTCAGTTGCCTAGGTGGTAGTAACCTTGGAATGCAGCTTATCCAGTGTCGGGCACCCATCACCCAAGTAACTAGTATTTCAAACTACTTAAAAGAGATTGTTCTCTTTTTCCCTAATCACAATCCCACAAGCTGAAACCAGATGCATACTGGCCACCTATTCTATGCAGGAAACATATAAATCTTAGGAGGATTATTCTAGCATAGAGCAGATAATATATAATATATCAAAAAAAGAAAGAAAGATACAGATATGGATAATTCTTCCTTAATTATCTGCATAAAAACAGCTATATTTCTGATCTGTATTATTCACATTGCCTGACTAAATTTTCTGACTAATTGTTAGTCTTCCATGTTTGTGTAGTTGGAGCAATAGTATGCCTTATTTAAATACATTTTATTGAGCACCTATTATATAAAAAGCACTACAAGGTTTATGAAGGTAAGTGATACATAGGCCCTACCATAAAGGATTTTATAGTCTGTACAGAGGAAACGTGAGGGATGGACAAATTACATGTATTCGTAAGAATGTATAACTTATGGTAAAATAATTTACTTAAGAAAGGGTCACACCAAATGTTATAATGGCTCAAAGGAGGGAGAGATTATGTTCCACTGGGGTAAAAGAATGGGCTTTTTAGAGGAAGTGGCGTTTGAAAGATACCTTGGATGATGGATAGATCAGATTCTATAGAAGAGGTGAGAGAGAGGGGCATTCCATGTAGAAGGAACAGAAAGAGCAAAGACATAGAGGGTTAAATAGAAAGTACTTGTCATTTAATAATTTGGGGGAAATTATTTGGTTTTATAACACTTTAAAAAAATGTTTAGCTTTGCAGTTCCTGATCCCTTAATGCCTGATCCTTCCAAGCAACCAAAGAACCAGCTTAATCCTATTGGTTCATTACAGGTAAGTCGCACAGTTTTTCCATACTTAACATTTTGTCTACTGAAAAAAAGATGTCTTACATTGATATCTCCTTTTTGGCTAAGGAGAGGAATTAATATTTTGAAGATAAGATGGTGTAATATTTTGTTTTTTAAGTTATGATCATTTGATATTACAGCGCTAATTTAAAATTATTTTCCTATTTATGTTTTGGATTTTCTTCCATATACAGTATCTGCCTTTGGTTTGTGGAATTCTCATTTGAGAGCAACAGGACCTCAGTGCACATGGGTAGAGTGTTTTATACTTTAAGAATATTTCTTGCCACTCTTGTGACAAACCTCTTTCTACTCCTGTTGAGACAGAAGACTTTATATAAAGAACCCAAAGCGGGTAACCTCATTCAGGAATTAGGGAAGTGGTCTGTTTGCTTATTCTACCAAAAAATATATATTCAGCTTTGAATTTCTGTACGCAGAATATCCTTCTTGCAGATTATCCATGTGCTCTGTTGGACAACTCTCCTCCCCGTTACCCAACCAGTCCTTTGGACTCTTTCCTGCTCTATGAGCTTTTCTGTAGTTTAATTCTTTTCTCAACCTCATCCAGGTCTGCTTGTTTGCTATCTCTGCTCCTCACTTGCTCTTGCTCAAATATAGTAGTTAGCCAGCTATGGGTATGGAAGTCTATAGCTAGGAGGGGAGAGGCTTTAGGGACAGGTGACAGTGAGACCTGTAGAGATCCTCTCTGATATTTCCAAAAAGGGCAGTTTGAACTCTTTGATATCAGCTCACTATGGCTTAATGGCAGAACATCATTCATAGCAGGAAACTTCTTCAGTTTTGTAATCGCAGGCCTATAAGATAATAAAATGCAGAAATATCTATGGGAAATACAGGGTCTCCCCTTATTTTTCCATTGTATAATATCATTATTCTTTTCAAACATACAAATATAAGTGGGATTAAAATTGTGAAAGAATATCACTTATGTTATTGAGCCATTGCATAGTAAAAACTACTAAAGCCTGATCTTGGTTTTCTAGGAATTGGCTATTCATCATGGCTGGAGACTTCCTGAATATACCCTTTCGCAGGAGGGAGGACCTGCTCATAAGAGAGAATATACCACGATTTGCAGGCTAGAGTCATTTATGGAAACTGGTACTTATTTCTTTTTACCCTCATACAATTTATAAACCAGAATTAAAAGCATTTATTTGAGCAAAAGGAGCTACAGCCTGGGAGAGACAGATTCAGGTAGCAACCTAAAGTGTGTTCCACCAATACAAAGGGGAGGCTGCCTTTTATATTGAAAATTCCTGCCTCGGTTCCCATTTAGGTCCGTTTTATATAAATGAAGTATCCAAATTGTGCAGTTCTGATTAGATGAGGCAGATCTCAGTCTGTTGGTAGAAAGAGGAAACCAGGGTTTCTCTGTAGTGATTGAGTCAGAAGGCGTAAACAAGTGAGGCATAGTGCGGGAAACCGAGAGTTGGGTCTGAGGTTCTTCCCAGTATACAGAGTATGTGAGGAGCCCCCGTCAGCAAATGGCCTTAGGCTCTTACTGTTTATAAAACTTGTGCCCTCAGTTGACCATGGGGATTCCATCTCAGCAGATAAATTCCTTCTCATCCGATGAATCTTTCTTCTCGGGGTCCACAAATTGAAGATATTTGAAATATTTTCAGATGTTGGATGACCATAGAAATTTCTATTGTGATATCTTTTCAAATACGTATCTGGAGAAAAAAATTGATTAGACTCCTGTTCACCCATCTCTAACTCTGTGGTTGAATTTAACTATAAATATTTGACTTAAGAACACTTCTTAATTTGATATTTTTTAAATCATGAGTAGTTAATGGAAGGATAAATAATGATTTGACGCGTTAAGCAGTCTTCATTGATGTATTAGTGACAAAAATACTCATTTGGAGAAAAGCAATAGTAAATCTCTTGGAGTTTCAACAGCTAGAGTTTCATTCTAGAAGATGGGAGTATAAAAAGATTACATTTGAAAATGATTCATAAGAGGCTAGATGACAAAACATCAATCACAGTGTGATAAAAATAAAGTAGAAATTATCCTTTTGAATTATAGCAACTTCTATGTTATTAAATGCCATAAACGATGAGAGAAAAGTCATTTAATAAAGTACTAGTGACGATTCTTATTTTAACTTCTCTAGTGTTCTTATCATTTTTAAGGTGACTTTGAAGGGACTTTTACCTTGGCTGCATATTAGTTTTAACCAATCAACTTTTTGCCCTCAAGAGGTACTGTGGGCCAGTGCAGAAAACATTGGGCTAGAAGCAGGAACCTCCACTTGTGTTCTTGATGCAGTCTCTGATTTGCAGGTTAAGCAAATTACTTAAGCTCCCTGGGCCTCAACTTTTAAATATAGAAAACAAAAGCATGGAAGGAGATGAAATTTATGGTGTCTTTCAACTTCAGTGTCTCCTATGGCCATCTTATTCATGTTAAAGAAATTCCATATAGTTGTCAGTTTATAGGAAATTTTAAGTAAGAAATAAACATTGAGAGATAGGAGTTGTAATTTAAATGTATCTTGATAAATTTGAATGTTTGGTCAGAATTAAACCAAATGTAACTCATTAAAACTAGGCATAGGGAAATAAACTGTTAAAGAAAAACAGGAAGTGTAACTATTAAAGATAAATTATTAAAAGCAATGCCTTTAAAAATGTAAGTTTAATATCTATGAATCACAACAAGCAAAGATGTCAGGTCAGTAAAAGAATAGGCTAGTAGATAAAAACCATGAGGTTGTTCTCTGATTAAATGCAATATATATTTGATCATTCTCTGGACACTAATTTCTTTTCTAAACCTACCATTTTTTCCCCTTTATTTAGGAAAGGGGGCATCAAAAAAACAAGCCAAGAGAAATGCTGCTGAGAAGTTTCTTGCCAAATTCAGTAATATTTCTCCAGAGAACCACATATCTTTAGTGAGTAATGATCATACAGCTGTGATGTTAATGTGATGAAGTGTCTCTTGCTGGAAAGCAGACTTTCCTAGTTTTCTTGTTATATAGATACTTCAGAGTTGCCATTTTTAAAAACCTCTTCATTATTTAGTTACACACTACCCCAATTTTATCTGCTTGCTATATAAGCCAGAGTCACAAGGGTGACCAGGTAAGAGGCCTTGAGAGAGACAGTTGAATTCAGAAAAGTAGCATGGGATCTAAAGATGGTAGGCCAGTAGTCCCATTTTTGCCTTTATGTTGATAGTGCATTCCCATCCCTTTGTCTATTCATTTATCCACCCAGCAAACATTTAGTGAGTTCATACTGTGTGCCAAGCTTTGTGCTAGGTACTGACATCAGTGAATAAGACAGCCTCTGCCCCTAAGGAGTTTATAGCCTACTGAAAAAGAGAAAAGAACCTACAAACTGGTCCTTATGAGAGGGTGCTGCAGGGACATAAGAGAAGGCATGCAGCTAAGGCTGGGAGTTTGGGAAGGCTTCTTGGAGGAAGTAATGTCTAAGTTGAGACCTGTAGAATGAGAATAGGGGGAAAGAATTCCAGAGAGGAGAAAGGACATGTGCAGAAGCCTGGGAGTAGAACACATGCCATCTCGGAAGCTTAAGTAACTTGGGATGGTTAGGACATAAAAGCTGGAGGGAGGGAGTCTCAGACCAGGAGGCCAGAAAGGAGAGGAGGGATTCAGTCTTGCAGGAGCGTCTATATTAAGGAGCTTGAACTTGGTCCTGGGGGTAGTATGAAGTCATTCAAGAATTTTAATCTGGAAGGACAGGATCTAATTTATGCCTTAGAGTGGAAATCACTTGGCTGCGTCACGAAAAGTGAATGAATAGTAGAATCAGAGAGACCTAGACTGTTGTTATAGAAAGCAGACACCTGAAACTAATTAAAAAAAAAAAAAGATGAGAAATGATGATGGCCTAAACTGAAGGTAATAGCAATAGAAATGGTAGATTTAAAAATTATTTCAAAAACTAATGTGAAGGGAGGATGGTAATTGATTGGATGTGGGAAGTAAGGAAAAAAAGGAGGAGATTACACATTTTTAACTTGTCAATTGAATAGATGCTGGTACCATTTATTAATATGGGGAACACAGAAGATGAGTAGAATTTTAGGGGGAGTAGATAATGAGTTAAATGTAAGATATATTGAGTTTAAAGTGTTCATAGAATATCTAAATGAAGATATTGAGTAGACAGCTGGGTATATACATATACGGGGGTGCCAAAAAAAATGTACACACAGTTTAAGAAAGGAAAAAAATATATTAAAATGGTAATACTCAATATATACCGATAACAAAAGATGACTACAAATTATGTGTATACATTTTTTGGCACCCGCGGTGGGGTGGGTGTGTGTGTGTGTGTGTGTGTGTCTTAAAACATTGAGCTATACATGATATATTACTTGAGATTCTGATAGCTGTAGAAAGGTATGCCTTGTGATACATGATCTGAGAGTAGTGTATTAGGTGAGAATGAGAAGTGAGGGCTACAGCAGTGTCCTCATGGGGCTTATGATAAAATAAGGGCTTATTCTGTAAAAAAATAATAGAAAAATATAAAACATTGCATTTGCTTTTTTAAAAATTGAATCAGAGATAACATCAAAACCACACAGCACAGAAAGGTTTACAAGTGAATTTTGTTGAATCTTCAAGGAAGAGATAATTTTCAATGCAATTTAAACTCTTCCCAGAAATGTATACAATATAGGGGAAGCTTCTAAATTTATTCCCTAAAACCAATATGACACTAACATGAAAACCTGACGATAGCATAGCCCAACAGAAAAAAATAAGGATTAATCTCCCTTATGGTGAGACCTTATTAAAATGTTCAGTAGAACATTAAAAGAATAATACAGCATAGAAAAGCAAGTAGGCTTTATTTCAGGATTGCAAAGCTTCTCAAGGTTAGTAAATTGGTCACTATAATTAATCATATTAATGGGTCAAAAGGAGAAAAAAGTATATAATTGCCTCAATAGATGCCAAAAAGATATTTGACAAAATTTAGCAATCATTACTGATCAATACTTAAAATTCCCTATTGTGATTCAAAATATATCTAAAAAAAATCAATCATGATATATCTATAGGTATAGATGAAACAGTGTAACAGAAAATGAATAAATGTAAATCTTTCTCTTTATTTTTGATATGAAGACTCAGTATTGTAAATACATAAAATGGTAACATCTCACTCAGAATATGCCAGAATTTATTTTGGATGTTGATACAACTTTCTAAGTTTTGTCTGGAAAAATAAACTCTCAAGAATAGCCAAGAAAACTAAAAAGGAAAAGTATGGGAGTTCGGGTGCTACTCTACCTGAGAATTTTTGTGCTGTAAAAATTTAGTAGTTACAATAGGTGTTGGTACAGGAATAAACAGAAATGAATGGAGAATCCAGGTATAGACACTAATCCATATAGGAGCATAGTATATGGCAACAGTGAGATTTCAAATCAATGAGTGAGAGGATAGATTATGCAACAAATGATGTAGAAACAACTTATAGCCGTTAGGGGGACGGAAGTGTCTGTGTGTATGTGATATTTGGTTGCTACCTTATTCCTGTTGGTCTTAAAAAAAAAAAAGAGCCAGTTATTCTACGAGCAAAATGGGTTTATTCAGGAATAGCAGAGGGATTGCAATTCAGGACAAGCACACTATTGCAAAGCATAGGCAAGCCTGAAAAACAGGGAAGGACTTGCATTTGTAGGGGACAAAGAGGAACTTGAGAGGGGCTGTTTCAAAAGGCTTAGGGTAGTAATGGCTTCTCATTGGCTGGGCTGTAACCAGGAGCCCAAACCTGAAGGTAACCAGCTAAAGAGGTTCACGTTACAGTTGACAAAGGTGGAGGTGTTGTGCTGGGCAAGGAGAAATTCCTCCTTCCTCCTGCTGTGATATGTCCTACTGTTTGGGGTCTGGGTGGCAGTGCATGACAGCTCCCTTTTCAGGGCTTCCTGACTCCCATTTTAAATAAGGTTTCTTTTGTTTTTAATGTTCCTATACCAAAGCAAATTTCAGATAGATCAAAGATTTGAACATAAGAGTTTCAAACTATTTAAGTATTAGAAGACATGGAAGAGCTTTTCTTTTAAAAAATCTTAGTGCAGGGAAAGCCTTTTATACCTAGAAGCTGTAAGGTAAAAGATTCATAAATTTTAAAACATACTGCCCAGCAAAAAAAATCTATAAATGAAATTGAGAATAAAAACAGTGAGATTATGTATTTGAAAGTTGATAATAGAGTAGATCTTAAAAGTTCTATCACAAGAAAACAATTTATGTGTGGTGTTGGATGTTAACTAGGCTTACTGTAGAGATCATTTTGCAATATATACAACATGAACCATTATGTTGTACACCTGAAATTAATGTTATATGTCACTTATATCTCAATAAAAAGAAAGGAAAACAAGTGAGAAGAAATTGTTTTCAACACATGACTAAAGGGATTGTTTTCAGTACCACACAAAAAGCTCTTACACATGAATAAAAATGACAACCAAGTGGAAGAAATATAAATGATTGAAAAAGAAAAAAATGTCCAACTTCATTCATGCAAGATGAATAAAATACTAATTTCACCTTTTAAGTTGACATAAAGTTTGATAATATCTGGTGTTGGTGAGGGTATGAGAAGACAAGTACCCTCCAAGACATTTGATGGGGTTAGAAAGTAGTTCAAAAATCAGTTTGGATATACGTATCAAAGTTAAAAGCATACATGTTCTCTGACTTAGCAGTTCTACCTCTAGAAATTATTCTACAGAGAAAGTCACCCAAGCACAAAAGAGTTTTATTGTAACATTATTCGTAAAAGCAGGAAACGAGAAACAACCTAAAACCCTTAGTTGGAGGCTATTGAGATAAATATAGTGCATTTTTATGTGCTAATATGAGAAGAATGAACAGATGTAGAAGAGTAAGCTATCATTTTTGTGTTAAAGATCATATATGTATGTGTACTTGAATGTGCATAGAATGTTTATGGAAGGATACTGAAGAAATGTTTAAAAGCAAGTGCCACTGGGGAGTGGAACAGAAGTCTGGGGATGGGGTATAAGAAACAAGACTATTCTTCATTAGCTGTTCTTATTGCGGGTATTTTTTTTACCATGTGAATAAATTATGATTTTTTAAAAAAAATTAGTTTCAGGTGTACAAAACAATGTAATAGTTAGACATTTCACCCCTCACAAAGTGATAACTCCCTCCCCCCACAATCTATTGCCTCTCCAACATTGTATATAGCTGTTACAATTCCATTTACTCTAGTCCCTATGCTGTACTCCACATCTCGTGACCATATATTATATATATATATATATATATATATTCAATTATAGTTGACAAACAATATTCAGCTTCAGCTTCAGGTGTGCACTGCAGTGGTCAGGCATCTACACTGTCCACGAAATGGTCTCCCTAATAAGACGTGCCCATCTGACACCTGATAAAATCTTCACAACATTATTGTTATATTCCCCAAACTGTCTTTCATATCCCCTATGGCAATATTGTAGTTACCAATTTATGCTGTCTAATTTAATTATGATTTAAAAAATATATATATTGTTTAGTTTCAATCAAGGAATATAAAATTTTATTTAGTGAATTTTGCAAATTACTCAATTCTATAGCATGGCCACCCTTCTGATCTTTTGAAAATCCCTTAACCTCTCTTGGGGCTCATTAATAAATAAGACTAAGGATAGGTTGCCCTACTTTAGAGAGTAGTTGCTTTGGGTTTTTAAATGGCATAATATAGAAAAGCAATTTGAGAACCATAAACGAAGATGGAAATGTAAAGCATTTTAAAAACGGGTGAAGAGGGAAGGAGATAGGAGAGAATAAAGAGAAAAAGAAAAGGAGAAAGTGACCAGAAAAACCTAAGCTCACTTGGGTTCTGGATCTAAGTCTGAGAAGAAAGAACTCTCTGATGTACTGCCGTTCATTTGAATCACTTGTTCTCTCAAACCCAACATGCACTTCTTACCTTTTCTACCGTTTGTTTTCTGCTTCAGAGCTCTCAGTTGTAACGATTGGTATTTAATACAAGAAATCATAAAGATATAAAAATTATGTTTTAATTTGTAAGTTGACTGTTAGATTCAGTTATTTGCAAATTTGTTTATCGTGCTCTTAAATATCTTACGTGTCTTAATGTAACTACCGGAAAATTTGACTGAGAGACATTTGTATTGCACAGAAGTATTTTTAAATACTTCCAGTATATTATTACACATGCTTCTTCTTTCTTAACATCGTGGTATCAGTTAAATATGTACCCTTGTTAATGTTGTCTAGTTTAAATTGGAAAGTTAATCAAATGATGACCATTTAAACATGCTTTATAAAATACTAAATGTGCCTTCTAAGTACTTTTAATTATAGTTTTGGGAACCAGTCCTAGTTAAGAGCCTTAATCGTCATCTCTTGTTTTTCAGACAAATGTAGTAGGACATTCTTTAGGATGTACTTGGCATTCTTTGAGGAATTCCCCTGGTGAAAAGATCAACTTACTGAAAAGAAGCCTCCTCAGTATTCCAAATACAGATTACATCCAGCTGCTTAGTGAAATTGCCAAGGAACAAGGTTTTAATATAACGTATTTGGATATAGGTATGATTTTTTTTTTTGGCTTATCCCTAAACATGTTACTTTTAAAAATATGTTTGAGAAACAAAAACTTCAATTATAATTGATTTCAATGATCAGGGATTCACTGTATTACCAAGCAGCAATATATATAATTGATGTGTCCCATACTTATAAATAATAATAATAGCTAACATCTATACAGTTACAGTAATAAAAACAACAATAGCTGAGATTTATGGAGCTTTCCTATGTGCCAGGCACTGTTCTGAAGACATTACATATATTAACTAACCCTCTGAAGTAGGCTCTATATTTAAGTGAAGAAAGGAAGGAAGGCACAGAAAGGTGGAAAAACTTGCCCAAGATGACATAGCTAGTCAGTGGTAGAGCCAGATTAGGGGAAGAGTGACTGCAGATACACTATTAACTAGCCCTGTTGGGTAGATTGACAAATATAAAGGCACCCACATTTCTAGAACAAGCGCCAAGTTTGTGGGGCCAGACCTCTCTCTCTCCACTCTGTCACAATTTGTCTCAGTTCTTGGAGACAAATGGGGGCAAGTCAATTTATAGCTTTATCCCATTCCAGCTATCATCTCCCTTCTCTCTAGCCCTTAATCACTTAGACAAATGCGGAGAGACTGGAAAGCAAGTCAGTTTGGATTTTCTTTTAATTCATTTTATAAAGCTGGCTAGTTGTGTGCCTCTGTGTGTGTGTGTGTGTGTGTGTGTGTGTGTGTGTGTATGTATGTGTATGCATGTGCATGTGTTTATTGTCTTGATTTAAAAGTATAACAGGTGAATTTGATATCTCTTATTCCAGTCTCAATGAGCTGTGAGGACCTACCTTGTCAGAGCTACTAGCAATGAGAAAGGGTGTTTAGGAACTGAAAGAACTTCTGATACTTTAAGATTGAATGATGGCTCCAGTGCAGTGTCCTAATATACTGAGAATGAGGCCAAACCTGGGAATTTAGTGGAGAGATGGTCAGAAAAGGTGACTGATGGGAGACTATCCATTCAACAAATACTTAAGTGTCTATACTTTGTTGGATGTTGGAGACAGAGATGAATAAGCCATGTCGTGGATAGGACTAGGGAAGGTTTTGAATCTAGGAAAAGAGGGAAACTTGATCTTTTTAGATTATGAATTAATGATGCTGTTGGAATGCTTCTTAACGATATTAAGAACTAAGTAGTTCTTGTAAATAAAGGATAGCCTGAAAAACACAGTCAGTTAATTTGGCTAACTTCTATGCAAGTACCTTTAAAAGAATCTAGATGCTTCCCTTAGAAGATATACAAATGGTCAACAAGCACATGAAAAGATGCTCAACATCATTAGTCATCAGGAAAATACGAATCAAAAACCACAGTGAGGCTCCATTTCACACCCACGAGGATGGCTATAATGAAAAAAATAGCAAATGTTGGTGAGGATATAGAGAAATTACAGCCTGCGTATATTGCTCATGGGAATGTAAAATGGTTCACCTGTTATGGGAAACAGTTTTGCAGCTCCTCAAATGAGTTGCCTTATGACCCAGTAACTCTACTAGGTATATACCCCAAAGACTTAAAAACTGGTATTCAAACCAGATACGTGTACACACGTTTATAGCCATACTATTCACAATAACAAAAAGGTGGAACTAGCCCGTGTGTCCATGACAGATAATGGATAAATCAGTTGTGGTATATACATGCAATGTAATATTATTTGGCCATGAAAAGGAATAAAGTTCTGATAGATGCTACAACATGGATGAACCTTAAAAACAAACTAAGTGAAAGAAACCAGACACAAAAGGGTCACACATTATATGAAATATCCAGACTAGGTTAATCCATAGTGACAGAACACAGATTGGTGGTTGCCACTGGCAAAGGCTTGGAGCGTGGAGTTGGGAGTGTGGGCAGGCAGGTTGGGAGCCACTGCTTAATGGCTGTGGTGTTTCCTCTTGGGGTAATGAAGTGATGAAAATGCTTTGTAACTAGGTAGAGGTGGTGGTTGCACACCATTGTGAATGTTCTAACTGCCACCGAATAGTTCACTTTAAAAATGGTTAATTTTATTTTGTGTGAATTTTACCTCAAAAAAAAAAAAACACCACCAAAAAACAAAAACCTAGATGCTATAACTAGAAAGCCTCTGCAGGCCTTAAATAATCCCATTGTATCTGGATATTTTCCACTATATTGACTCTAACTGAAATAACAGTTAATCATGACCACTCTAAAACCATAACTCACATATTTCTACTTGTCTTATTTAATTTCTTTAATTATTCATCACTTGATGAGAACATTTGTTTCCTAGGTTTAGGTATTGTTTTTAAAACATCCTAACGCATACACAAGATGGAGCTAGATTCTTTGCACAGATTTATAACCAAAGAACATGAAGGCACAAGGCGGTCTTGCCCTGAACCGTGTATTTCCTGGTTCAGTTGCCTACTGAAAATAACCCTAGACTTCATAATGAAAAATACAGTTTTCCCAGGCTTCTAGTAAATGGATTTTATCCCTTCTAAAAAAGTTGCTGTGGTTCAGTAATTTGCAAACACTGTTCAACTAGCCACATTAGACTTGCATTGGGAGTTTTTTTTTTTAAATGCAAGAATGTGGCTACTGTAACCCCCAATCTGCATTTCTGATTGAGCAGGCTGGAGCGAGGCCTGGATACCTCTATTCCTTCAAGTTCCCTCATGAGTATGAAGCACACCTGTGTGTGAGAACGACTGTAGCTGCGCAATTGTGTTTTGTTTTTTGTCTGTACAAGAATGACAAGGTTGATGAGTAAGTAGAGTAGGCCACCGTGGATGTTTACAGAAAACAACAATGATAAAAACTGTATTGTTTATACAAAGGATGTACTTTATATACACTGATTAACCATCATGTTTGAATATGTCATTACAGAAGAACTGAGTGCCAACGGACAGTATCAGTGTCTCGCTGAACTGTCCACCAGTCCCATCACAGTTTGTCATGGCTCTGGGATCTCCTGTGGCAACGCACAGAGTGATGCAGCTCACAATGCTTTGCAGTATTTAAAGATAATTGCAGAAAGAAAGTAAACTTGGAGCGACTTAGAAAACCCGTCAGCAGCACATAAAAATTTCCCCTTTCACCCCTTCCCAAGTAAAATGTTTACTGTAATGAGTTTGTGAGTTGTTCCTAAATTTCTTCAGATTCCATCAGCACTCCAGTTTTCATTATCTTTTAGTCGTTGTTATTAAGCTCTTTTTAATGACTTCAACTTTGTATTGGTATATTGTATTTATAAACTTTGTACCATAAGCAGAGTATAACACCCATTTTACAATGCCATGTACACAGAAGGAAGAAACTGCATGTTTATTGATGATGAAGACGATGACATAAAACTGCTAACAACAGTCTTTCTTTCTGGTGCTTAACTTCTTTGTGCAAGGCTTTGTAAAGGGAATTCGAAGGAAACCCCTTAGAATTAGAGTGTTGAGGAACACACTAAGGCTTTTATTGAAAGTGATTGTTAAATGTCAGGGAACACGATTGGTCTGCTGTGTATTTGAATCCATGTAATAAAGAGCTGTTGTTATAATGGATTCTGCTCATTTTATTAAAGTGTTACTGGACTGTGGCCCCCTTCTTTTTAGCCATTGTTGTGAGTAACATAATGTGGCTGTTCTGTTATTTATATAGCTCTAATTTACTTCTGAAAGTCAAAGGTGAAAAAAAACCAAAAACCTAGGGCCTAAGGAAAAATTTACAAATTCTCATGTATACGTGGTGAATCACTTCCATATTTTCTCTAAGCATATGCAATGTTGTCTTTCTTTGACCTAAGCATTCATAGATGAATTAGTACTGTAGCAGAAAAAGCTTTAATAGAAATACAAAAAAAACAGAACTTTCCAGTGCACTCAATTCAGTTACAAGGAAATGTTTGAAAGCAGTGATTAAAAGGTTAGGAAATAAATCTCATGAGCAAATGTTAATTTTGCCTTTTACGTTTCCATATATCATCGTGTAACTCCTCAGGTCTGCCATCCATCAGTTCTAGCTGACAGAGCTGCCTTTGTTAGGTGAAGTCTCAGCCCTGTTCAGAGCCCACGGAAAGCCTCAGAGAGGAAGAGCACTCTGGATGATAACAGGGTTTTGATAATCTCAAATGTGAATCCAGCAGGAAATAGGTAACAAGCATTTTTCTGTCTGGAAAAAAAATATCATACCTGACGAATCCTTTGACAATAAAACTACATAATAAAGGAAAACCAGTGCATGTAATTTATCTACAACTCTTCAGAGCATTTAACTTAGTTTCGTGTTACAAGCTATCTGTGTCAAAAAAAAAAATATTAGGTACTTTTTTGGTGAGATTAAGGAATACACAAAGACTATAAAAATTTAGGCGTAAACTGGAGCCTGTGGGTCATTAAGATTGGACTGACCTTGGGTTTTTATGATTGCTTTGGAATGTAGAGGGCACAGTGAACTCACTAGAGATGACCTTAGACTCTTCTGCATAATAAAATGCTGACTTTGAAGAGGAAAACTTTGGAGGGGAAATTTCCTAAGGCTTGGAAGAAGAAGATGAGGTCCAACATAAAGGGAAGGACAATGTAATAAACCTGAGTACAAGGTGCCCAGAAGTCATGTTCTTCCTGGCTATGCTTTGCCTGCTTCTGGCCCTGGAGAAAACACATTTTATAGATACTGTTCAAAATCACCTCTGTTTGGAGTGTCCAGATTTTCTAAGGAGTGGTTACACAATCAGGTGTTAACAGCATTTTATTAAGGCTCATAACCAGCGCACTTGGTCATACCTGTTAACCATGTTAGGTAAGTGTCCCAAATAGTCTGAACAGGCATCTATGCCTGTTAGATGCATCAGTGGTGGGAAAAGATGCTGTGTGGGGTTTATGACAAGTTCCAGTGGGAAAATCACAATGCAGACTCCAAGGATTTGGATCAAGGTCATGCCATCTATAACAGAGAAGTAAATCCCTTTCAACACACAGCTTCTGATGTGCTGCTGGGCCCTGGTAGAGAGGTAGCACCTGATGATGGGATGGATGCTCAGTGGCCACGTGGCCAAAACCACTGATCATGAGCTCGATTCTATCAAGCCCATCAAGTCATAAGGTTGGGTAGAGTCATGTAGCAATCCATTGTAAGATGGAAGATACACTTGATCAAACACAAATATGGCCCAAGGGCACAGGATGCTACATAAGCAGGCAGCCCATATTCCTATGTCATCTATCACTGTTGCACCAGTGTCTCCCCCTCAGTACACACCTACTGCCACTGAACCTGTATGACCCGTTGATGGGAAAAGAAAAATTCCTGAACTTGACTCATGGATGGGTAAGCCCAGTACAAGATGCAAACTGAAAATAGATGACTATACTACAACCCCCTTCAGGGGTGGTCTTGAAAGATAGTGCTGAGGGGAAATCCTCCCAAAGAGCAGAGTGTCAGGTACTGTACCTTGCTATCCATTTGTGAGGGAAGTAGTCCAAGGTTAGGATATATTTGGGCAATGGTCGGGCCTGGAAAGAAATAGACTGGAAGATTGGTGACAAGGAGATCTGAGTTAAAGGTACGTGGATGGGCATAAAGTGTGAAGAGCTTTCTACTGCCTCTTGACCCGTGATATAAAGCACCCTTGATGGAAAAGGCCCTGAACAATGAAGTTGACGAAATGACTTAAGTCAGTTGATATCATCCAGCACCTGGCATTGGAATATCCATTGTGGCAAGATCAGAGGCTAAGAATGGGTCCAATGAGATGGGCTCCCACATACCAGGCTGATCTAGTTACATCTAAATGCATTCCAGGTGGTTCACCTTTCCTAGCTGCAGGGCCTCAGTCAGCATTGCTGAGGATTTTCAGTGTTTAGACCACATGGGACCCATTTTAGAGCAAAGGAGGCACAAGAGTGGACAAATGAGCATGAACCCTGCTTGTTATATCACATTCTGCATCACCCAGAAGCTTCTAGCCCAATAGAGTGATGGAACAGCCTGATGACATAGCTAAAGAGGGTGCTGCTCTCCAAGATGAAGTGTACACCTTACATTAATGACCTTTATATGGTGCTGTGTTTTCAACAGATAGAATACATGGGTCCCGGAATCAAGGAGTGGAAGCAGGCATGCCCCTGTTTATTATCATGCCCAGTGGAGAACTTGTGTTTCCTGTCTGTGCAACTCTGGGCTCTGCAGTTCAGAGGTCCTACTTCCCAAAGATGAAACTCTGCCACCAGCAGACCCAGAAAGAGTGTCATTGAACTATAAGCTACATCTCCTCTCTGGGCATATCAGGTTTCTTGTGCCAAGGTACTAGAGTGCAAACAGAAGTCACCCTCCTAGCTGGGGTAATTGATCTGGTCACAAAGGATGTATGACTGCTGTTACACGATAGGAAGAATAGGCTGGTACCCAGGCAATTTAATTGGGTGCCTCTTGGTAATCTTTTGCCCAATTTTAATTGTAAATGGACAAGTGTAGCAGCCATGATGAGCCTAAAAGATCATGAGACCAGGGATTCAGAACCTCTAAGGATCAGGGCTGGGTTCATTACCAGATAAGTCACTGAGACCAGGAGTGTTAGGTAAGGGTGAGGAAAACTTAACTGGATAGTAAAGGAGAAAGATGCTGTAGCCCCACGTCCAGTTTTGGTATTGGAGATTGTAGTTCATACCACTAACTTTCTTCTAATTTTCCTTTAAGGAAAGGCTGAAATGCTGGAGAATGCTCCCAGGACTTATGCAAAGAAATGGAGTCGAGCAAGTGAGCACTGTGGTCCATCACCCAGATCCCACTTCAGGAGTGAAGGACTTATCATCCCAGCTGCTGGGTGTGCTGCAGGCAGGCAGCCCTCTGCTGTCAGCAGGACCAATTACATAATTCATAGGGCCCAGCGGAAAATGAAAATATAGGAATCCTTGATTGAAAATTATTAAGACTTTTAAGACAGGAACAGCAGAGTACTAAACCAAGTGTGGGGTCTTTCCAAGCAGGAGCCCTGTGTGACTACACGTTGCACATCAATGAAGCTGGCCCTAGCTATCAGCCCTCATCAGAATCACCTCGGTTGAAAAGCGCCACTTCATCCAAGGCCACATCCCTTTCTTTGGGCAGGCTGCATCCAATGACTGGTCAACAAAGACCTGACCCTCTTGCTCCAACTTGGGGCAATTTTGAAGGGCCATTCAGCTTCAGAGTTCCCCATGGGGGTAAGCAGAGAACTTGGTTTAGACTATATCACAACCCAACTCCTCCTCTGCCCAATCCCTATTTCTTCCCATTCTTTCCACAAATGGTGATTCCCCAGAGCATTCCCTAATAAACCTCCTGCCCTTGCTTTCCTTCTCAGAGTCTGCTCCCTGGGGATCCCAACCTGAGACATAGAGTTATAGTTTAATGCAAAAAGATATTCATAGAAAAATCAGATAAACCATTTTTTTATCATACAAAATTATAACTCCAACAAAATACTTTGGTTTCTCTTTAGCTCATATATACATTGCCTTATATTAAAATTTCTAGAGGAAGGACCGGTTGTGAATTTGTGGCCAGTTTTTCTTTTACAGGTCTCTGTTGGGTGGCATGTGTATGGGCTTCAGTGGCAGGGCACATTTGCGTTTTGAAAAGATTCCTCTTGGCATCTAAAAGGATATGTAGGAAACAAAATAGAAATGATCCTAATATAATGTGAGGACAAATCCCACAATGATTAAGGTACATCTAGAATAACACTGAAACTCTGAAGATGAATGGCCCATCAAAATTATCCCAAAAAACAGTTAAAAATCATGAAAGAACCCATACTGTAATATGAATTCCAAAAAGTATAGACTCCAAGCCTGAAAGCTTCTGAGTATTAGAACTAAGCTTTTAATAGATTGGGGGGAAAATTATTGTGATGCAATAAAGCACAGCTTTACCTAAAAATAAAAAAATGTAGATTTTTGGAAATTATTGAAGATGTGGGCCTCTCTGAAGATTTTATTAGCTTGACAGCACATTCAGAATTATTCACAGATAAAAATTCATGATGGCTTTTTGCTACAGATAAAGGTGACCTCAAAAAAGAGAAGTTTGGGAACAATAAAAAAAAGTTGGGGAACAATAAACCAAGTCTTGCATTTGTTATATTTAATTTGCAATTTACTGATTTCTTCATTTACCTTGGTAATTTTTTTTTCAGGTTAGAACTTATCAAAAGGGCCATCTACAAAGAACAATGTGCAATGAAGATCTGACAGCTTCTATGCAATTGACCTGAACATCAAAGAGGGCAAAGTCAATGGAATGGAATATATGTTTGTTTGCTTGTCTGTTTGTCTGGTCTGGGGCAAGAGTAGGATGTTGTGGAAAGAAGACCTTTCCACATGTTATGCTGGTAGATATCTCTGAAGTTTGGAAAAGATTTATATATACATATCTCAGGGAAAAAAAAGGCAGAAGACAGAGGCAAACTGTTTTCAAGTTATAGGCTAAAACCAAAGAAATGTGTGGGCTTAAATATGTCTTCATTATGCTTTCTTACATAAGATGAAAAATTGGAGCTCATTTAGGTGGTAAATTAAAAACTAGATGGTGGATTAAGTGCTGGGTTCTATTACAAATATTTGCATTATTGTTTTGAGCTTGTGCCTTCATTCTGCTGCAATCTCCTTCATGGCCTGGTGGGTGTGTTACTGCACAGTATGTACTGATTTGAAATGAAGAAATTGATAGGAGCACCTATCTGTGCCTGATT